CATTAACCTCCTGACGTCACAGATGAAGTCCCTGGACGGAGAGTGCTGCTGCAGTTACCCACTGCTTTGTATGCGGCTCCATGCTTTTCATTACAGCCTACCCTTGTGCTGCAGCCAGAGTCCTGTAGGACACACTTCATACCCCCACCACGCCCCACCCCAATCCCCCACACACGCAAACTTAAGGGGGATAGAACTTCAATACGCTTCTTAGATTTTTGCAGTTCTTTTTCTTATACGTATATTTGAATATTTTGAGGATATTATGCATCAGTTACACCCAAAATCTTTGTAAGTCACAACCAGCTTTTGGATTTGAGACTCGGTAGTGTATGTAGATGATGGACTGAACGAAGAGAACGCAGGCTTGGCACGAGAATATAGTTTAGCTTACATTCCTCATTTTATAAGAATCAGATGGATATCATCACATTCGTGAGCATATCTACATCCACCAATGGTCAGATTTTCGTGAGGGACATGTTTGCTTTGCCGGGAATCGAACCATGAACGTCCAGCGCATAAGCAGTTACTTTATGGCGAAATACCGGAATCCGCCTCCGACCACGAGGTCTGGGTTCTAGTGCGGCGCCTTTCAGCTCACAGCGTAGGGCTGGCTATGTGGTTTGTACATAAGCCTGTACTTCCATCCCCGCAGTAAACTTCCGATGTTTATTAATTATACAGTTTATATAAATTTGATATTTCTCCTATTTATATTTTATTCTCATTATAGATACACATTTATTTACACCGTAGTTTATTTTGTAATCGGTCATTGCACCAGCATGAGCCGCGATGGCTCAGTCGGTATAGCGACGGGCGACTGGGTGGAAGCCGGAGTTCTGTTCGCTGCAGGGTCAAGATTTCTCTCCTCTGCACAGCGTCCAGACTGGCTCTGGGGCCCAGCACGGCTGGCTCTTTCCCCGGAGGTAAAGTGGCCGAGGTCAAGAATGATGGAGCTGTACCCGCACTCTCGCATATGTCTTCGTGGCGTGGGAGATATTTACCTTTACCACTGGATTGTTATCATCTTCCTACCGAGTTACCAGGAACAGTTCTTTTGATGCTGAGACAATTGTGCGACGTGAGTTGTCCTGTGGGATGTTTACTCCCCTGCCTAAAGCAGCTAGTACGTTCAGACCATAATAATTGGCCCCGGCAAGAAATTGCCTTCTCAGAATTAAGGTCATTGCAATAATATCGGTGTATGACAATCGTTTTCGTTCGTATGAATACCGAAAAGAAAATCAGAATTTAAGGATACGGTACACGCAGAAGGGAACGTCAAAGGATATACTCCATTGTCTGTCGAATTTCGAGTTTTGAGACGAATGCTTTTGCCTGTTTTATCGAAAATTAGCTATATATTGAAAATTATGCTAAAAATATGGTCACGCGTAACGTTTTATGTACCCATCTATGCTAATAATTCACAGTCGGAAAATATTCGTGTTTGTGTTAGGACTTGGGGTTCTCCCAGACGTGGTTAGGGAGAGTTATGACTTCTGGGATATAAAGTTGTGTAGTCCGTTGAAATTCACCAGACGTTTCAGAAGAACATGTTACCTCCATCTTCATCGGTGGAGTAAACCGTGTAACAATTCTGCTTAATACTTGCTTCATGCTGGTTTCTTGCTTGACTTCAATCCTAAAGACGGACTAGATATATTCCCCCGAAACGTCTGTTGGCTTTCAGCGGAATGCACTGCGTTATGTCAGAGTATGACACTCTTCATTAAAATTTCTTACCTTCGAGGTTTGTGAAACACAACTCGGACAATTTACTTCACGAGAGAATCGCTGTTCAGGGTTTTAAATTTAATGGCAAGTTAAAAGCAAAAGGTAAAATTTGACTTAATTCTGTACTTAATTAAGCATCACACCATGAAGACGCATTGCTAAGAGGATTTATAGCTGCACACGTTCTTCACCTCAGCAATAAGTTGGGGAGAGTGGTCAGTTTCACTTCCCTGCCGCTTTACCCCGGTACTTTCCAGGTAGAAAGCTGACTGGGCTACATAACCGGTATGAACACCTCTGTCGGCAATTGAACCCATATTCTCTGGTTGTCCAACCCGTATCGTAGTCAACTGCACTGCCTAAGCTATTCAGGTGTCTAATGAAACAGGCTTTTTAATAATGCCCTAATTGCTTTTATGGAACCTTTTGTTTTGGAGTCCGTGCAACCCCAGGATTCTATATAGCACGGTGTGAAAATCACCGGGTTACAGCACTGCATTTAATGCATCTTCCAATCAGTATCGCATTTCTATTCCTGGACTTCCCTGGAAGCCATTCATAAATTAATAAACTTTCTAGCTTTACTTTTCAAGCACAATAACTTTGTATGTTATAGCAGACTCCATTACAGGACGTGACTATTCCTTAAGTGCGCCGTGGAGTAGTTCTCTACTCTCGTCATCTAACAGAAAATCGTTATGAACAGGAGGTGATTTTTTTTTTCCTCGTGAAGCTATTTGCTTACGAGTAGTTCTGAAAGGTTAAGTAACACAAAAGGAGCGGCCTCTCAGATGCACATGTACACAGCACAGACAGGGGCCTTTATTTAATGCTATTACCAGTGTTATTTTACGGGGCTTCTTCAGGATAAGGGGAAAGGGTTGAACAAATGGCTCATACAGTAATAAGGAAGTGTTTTGCTGCCGATCATTTCCCATTTAACATGAAAATATTATAGTCCGCATTTCTGGTAGAGAATCATAAGGAGTTCCTGATGTGAGTTGCCGGGTTATTGACAATGTTGAACGCAGAGTACAGTTACATGTGTGCGCCTCATTCACCGCTGCAGGTAATGTGTCATTTCATATATAATGGCCGAGTTCTGCCGTCTTCGAAAACAACTGAGTGATAATGAAAATTGCCGGTCACGGTAGCCGAGCGGTCTAAGGCATGTACTGTCTTCGCTCGCTTGGAAACCGGGATCGTGGGTTCGAATCCCACTCAGGGCATGGATGTTTAGTTTGTGTGTGTGCGTTTTTCTGTTTTTGTGTACAGGTAGAGGCCTTGCGACGAGCTGATCACCCGCCCAAGGAGTCCTACCGAATGTGTAAGATCTAGAAAAACCGAAGTGAACAGAGAAGTTCATGGAGGTAGGCCTAGGCCCACTGGGGCTGTAGTGCCAAGAAAAGGAAAAAAAAAGTAATGAAAATTATATCATTAAAGCAGTTGGATCAGTTGTTCATGTAGCATGACGTTGGGAGGAAATAATAAATGAATGTAAAGTTATGATCGGAATTTTCATTGAATGAGGCCACTTGGGTCACAAAATAGAAGCTAGGGACTTAAATCTTGAGCAGGTGAATTAGTTTTTTAACTGTCACGAAATAGTGCCCAGTTATTTTGTGATCGCCACGATGCACCTTCAAGTTTCGTAGCAACAAGAAAGTTCTTGAGAGCACGTACCAGTTGCCCAGCCAGTACCTTCTACCATGGAGTCATACCAGCGGGTTGAGACTAACGGTTTTCGCTCCTTGACTGCGGAGCGCTTCTATGTGTTTCCTGGGCCGGATTTGAGGTGGAGCGGCCGGAGCTTTCCCCCGAAAGCCTCAACAGATCCGGAGTAGAATCCACAGATTCTATCGAGACATTCGCTTCTCAGAATTTTTTTTTCCTTGCACTACAGCCCCAGTGGGCCTAGGCCTACCTCCATGAACTTCTCCGTTCACTTCGGGTTTTCTAGATCTTACACTTTCGGTACGACTCCATGGGCGGGTGATCAGCTCGTCGCAAAGCCTCTACCTGTACACAAACACAGAAAAACGCACACACGAACTAAACATCCATGCCCTGAGTGGGATTCG